CTACCGGACAGATGTGAGGACTGGCCAACGTCTCTACCGGACAGATGTGAGGACTGACCAATGTCTCTATTGGACAGATAAGAGGTCTGACTGACATCTCTGCTAGAGCGATGGGAGGACTGACTGACGTCTTTACTGGACAGATAAGAGGACTGACTGACGTCTCTGCTAGAGCGATGGGAGGACTGACTTGCATCTCTACTGGTCAGAGGAGAGGACTGACTGAAGTCTCTGCTGGACAAATGTGAGGATTGACTAGCATCTCTGCTGTGGCTAGAGTAAGACTGCGGGACAACGGACGTTTTCTGCCTTGATGGTTCTGTGGCATAAGACGCTTTATCAAAATAAGACTGTTTGTCTTTCAGATGGTTGTACTCAACCACATAGTTTGAGTCAGAACTGGTGTGCGTGCATGTTGGAGAGCTTGTTTGTTGGGCATTTTCCCAGCGGTCGTCCCAGGTTGGAAGCTGCTCTCGAGGAATGGAATATGACTGACGGACAGGCAAAGCCAATGGATACTCAACCAGCTGAGTGTGGCTCCTGTCGTCCCAGGAGCGAGATGACGAACCGGGTTGGAGCGCACCGGACCTAGATGAAGAAGTGTTGGACGCTTTCTTATTTTTGATCTGCGCAAGAAGGTCAGGAAGGGTATCGGCTGCGATGAGATGCTCCGGAAGCTTGGCCAGAGTTTGAAGGTCTTCAGCATCCAGTCCACAGCTATGCAGAAAAGACAAAGCCTTAGCAGACGAGAGGACAGGTTCTGATGAGGATGGAGACGTCCGCTCTGGAGATCCGCTCCTAATTCGCGACCTGTAAGCGGTAGACTCCCGGTGATAAATTCGTTGCGAGTCTTTGTACTTGTCATTGCTTGCGCTGTAATCATCAGGTGGGTTTCGGTATGGTTGATTGTAAGACATGTCTCAAAGTTGTCAAAAGTAGTCAAATATGTGTAGGACCTCAAAAAAATCAGCTCTTGCCGGGGCAGCTGCTGCTCACCTGTTAAAAAGTTGGTAAGGAGAATTTGTTCTCCTTGTATTAATACTACAATATTGAAGAGATCAGCTTCAGGTGGAAGATCTGCTGGTGAATCCGGCTGAGGCGTGTCACCTGTATCAGTCTTACCTTGAGATGAAAAATGAAATCATTCACTTTGTGGATGTCTCTGGGTTTGTTTTTAGAAAACTTCAACTGTATCAGACCAGAAATATCACAACTAGAAAGTTAATTAATGTAACTGGTAGAGGCCTAATGTCCATGAACTTTGTTAGAGGATATGTATAAAGGAAAGCAACTTTAACTGGAAACCTTCATCTTTACGTTTTGAAAGACTTTCGCTTTCATGTCAACATGCATTTATAATACACGTAAATTATTTTATAAGAAAGAAAAAAAGATAGTATGTCACTGCTTGAAATTTCATATGTAGACTACCTCAGTGTATGTGGAGTTTGCTTTTCAACTTAAAAGTGAAGAATAATTTGACAGTTTTTCCTGAAGAGTTGCTTCTCTTGTGTTTTGGCCTGATGCTAAGCGCCATCTTTCCGTTGGTCTTTGGCCCTGAAGCTAACCGCCATATTCCCACTAATACAATAACATCAAATGGGGCGTTATCAAATTATATTACGAAGGAAATAATCAGTTTGTACTGACTTATGAAAAAAACGTACCTTACAAGCTGGAATAAAGCAACTGATCGCTAAAGCTATGCAAGATAGCGGTTACGCTGAAAGACGTTCTTCTTCTAGCCTCGGTGTCCAAACCGGAAATGTGATTTTTCAAAATAAAAGTCGCCCCGGATGTATTGTTTGAATGTGTGTGAATATTAAAAATGACTTGTTACATTTTATTCAGAAATAAAATAATAACAACATATACACTATAGCATTAATTGGTTAGAACTTAAAAATAAGCTCTGATAACGCCAATGCTAATTAAATGTTTGTCACGACTATTAATCAGTATTGTTACAGTAGAAATAACTTTACCAACTAAAGTAACAGAGAAAAACTATGCTTAAAATGTCAAATTATGTAAACACAACTATCGTCTCTCTCTCTCTGGCAAAATCCCAAAAGCCTTGTAAATACTGGAGGTTTTATATATCGACCAGAGACGGAGACAAGGAACAAGAACTGACCTTTTATTTTTCCAGACATTTATTGCCAGTAGTGCCCGAACACTTGCTATATCACAAAGCCTTTTTAGCAATACAAAAATGTACTAGAGAGAAAGAGTTTTACTGTAAGGTGTTCTGAGCATGATTGATTAATTACATTATAACATTAAAATAAAATACTGATGTCAAGAATTGTATCTTTCATAAAACCTTTCCACATTCCCCAGACTCTGCATGACTTTTTTATAATATCTCTCTCTCTTTTGCATTTTGTGAAAGATAATTCATGACCTCAGTATTAATAAAACAACAGAAACAGAAAAACACAGTAGTAGCAGTTAAGTGTGTGGCATACAATGTCACATCTAAATCGTTAGAACAGAACAGCTATGACTTGCTTATGAAGCTTTTGCTACTACATTAAATGGAGAAAATATTTGTTAATTAAAAAAATAAAAAATAGAAATAAATAGTCTATTAAAAGATGTTCCAGCATGAGTGGCTCATTTCTTCATCCCATTACTCTGTGCTTTGGCTTCCTCCTCTTCCAGAGATTTTAGATGAGAAAATAAAACAGAACATTTGTTTCAGAAACATATTGAATATATCACAATTAGTGAGGTTACCATTACCATACAACAACAAATTGTAGATACCATGTAAATAAGATACTCGTTGTACAGTGTAATCAATCATTTTTTGATTAGAACTGGAAATTTCACAAGAATTCAGAACTCTGTTAACTCGTGCTAAACTGAAGTGACTGACCGCTTCATCGATCACAAAGAGAGCAGTCTTCGCTCACTTTCAGTAAGGCAAACCAAGTCAAACGCCTGGCTGTGTGAAACAATTTATTAGCAAAATCAAAGCCATCTTACCAACTGGGGCATTACCAAGAGCGGCGCTTCTAGATTCTAGCTTTATTTGAGGCGGTGCTGGTGTAGTGTATTTTCCCGCGGTCTTCACACTCTTCTCTGATACAGCAGCAACAGTCTCTTCATCTTCAGCCTCCTGGTCAAAGGACAGCAAAGGAAAGCAGTGGATAAATCTCTGTCTGGGCTGAGACGGATCTCTCCGAGCCTCCTAAAACAGTCATCATGCCATTTGATGTTGTAAATCAGATTTAGTGCACACTGTCATACACTACACAACAAATAATATAATGACTGTGATATAGCTCTATAGTGATATGGTTAATACTACAATAATGTTTTCACTCCAACTCTTTATGTACAGTAAATTAATTAGTTTGTTTCTCCTTGTATGACTTTTTTTATTTTATTTACCTGTAACTGTTCATTTAAAGGAATTAGATCTCGCATTAAAGAAACGGGAGAGGAGGAGCGTAATTATTCTTTAATTTTATTCTTGTCTTCCAACCTTAGATTGGTCAGGTCATACCCCTTTATTTTATTTAAAGAAAAAAATTGTAATATATATATATATTTATTTAATCACCCTTTAGTCGTACCAATGACCGACTGACTTCCGTAAAGTGAAGGTATATGTTTTTTTGTGCATGTTTGTTCCCAACTTACTTAAAACAAACCTTTAGTGATCATAGGTTTGTTTGGAACAACAGACAAGTGTTGCCAACGTAGCAATTTTGTCGCTAGATTTAGCAACTTTTCAGACTACCCTAGCAACTTTTTCTTCCAAAAGCACCTAGCAACAAATTTAGCTATTTTAAAAAATTTATTTGGCAACATTTAGCAAATTTTAACGATAAAAAAGCCACACATTTTCCATCTAAATTACACAAAGAGAGGAAACCAAAGGTGCCTAGCAGTACACAATTCACATGAATTAAGTTGGCTGCTATTAGCAATTGTTTAATAATAATAATAATAATAATTGAATAATTGTTCATTTATGATACACCTTGTTAGTAGCTTGTACTTGAGTTTGTTGATCAGTTAGTGCACGGTAAGAAAAATATCTAGAAAAATTGAGTGATTATCCATTGTAACCCGAAAACACAAAATACAATGCGTAATTTAAAATGTAGGTAAAAAACGTGTGAATAATAATTACGGAAAATTCCTTCATATTAATAGATTTTGCCCTATTTTTACAGGCTTTTCTTAGAGTGTAGCATACGAACTACTAAT